GCAATAGAAAGCCTTATCTTTCTCCCGAGGAGCAGCTGGTGGTTCTGAACTGCTGACCTAGTAGTTAGCAGCCCAATATGTAACCACGACACCACCAGGGTTCCTCAGAAACCAGAGACCCAAGCCCCAGTGTAAAGCCGTGAATGAGTCCGACTTAAAGTTGCCAGACTGGCTACAGTAAGAAGACCCATAGGGGCCACCAGCTCACGAGCACTTACTGCTGCTTGGAGTGGGGCAGTACCCTAGAAACGGAGTGCGTTTGAAATGGATCCATGGGATCCGTCTGGCCCTGGCTGGTCCTGCCATGTGCTGAGGTTATTACAAGCCATCAGGGCTGAGAGGGGAGCTAGGGGTCCAGATGAGGGGACAAGGTGAGGTTAGAAGCAGGAAGACCACAGCAGGTGTCAGGCCCAGGAAGCAAAAGACCCTCCATGATCTAAAGGCCTGGCCTTCGCCGACATTGATCCAGATACACCAGGGAGGAAGTGAGCACTTCTGTCCAGGGCCCGCCAAGAACTGTCAGCATGAGGGTCCGAAGCTAAGTCCTCACAGCCAAGAGGAGGCACTGGGTCTCACTCAGCATCCCCGGAGCCCTGTTGTCCCTAGTAAAAGAGGGGATCCCGGAAAGAGGCACCACCCCGGCCACAGTTGGCTACTGATTTTTGCTTCTTCCCCGTGGGGAGTGAGGTGCCACTAGACACTAAGAAAAGTACCTAGCACCCAAGGACTTGCTGGGCCTTGGGAACTGGCGGAGCACAAAGGACAGGTGCAAATGCATGGCTTGAATTGTGGGTATGGGTGCTCTTTACCCTAAAGGCATTGGGCTGCTAACCATAAGGTCTGTGGTTCAATCCCACCAGCCACTCCTTGGGAGAAAAGATTGAAGCTCCCAGAAGGCCTTAAGGGCTGGGAAACCCTACCTACGGTCACTATGAGTCAGACCAGACTCAACAACGTGGGTGTATAAAAACAGGGAGAGGTTTTCTTCTGGGGGGGTGGGAATCCCATTTTCACCCCATCACTCAGAGAAGCAAGCTCTGACTTCAGATAACCCTGAGTACAAGAAAGAAGAAAACATTCTAAAATTGATCGCAATAAGAAACGGGAGGGCTTGGTATACATGTGACAAGATGGGCAGATCCTAGATTCAGGATGGCAGTCACTGAGCAGGTTTGATCTGTTCTCCGGCTCACTATAGACACCATTATCAGTAGGGTGTAAACCCACCTGCAGGGACCACACTGATGGCTGCAAGCCTTTAGGGAAAAGTGGCCCATTGTCCTTAACAGCAGGGGGGGCTACCTGTGGTGGGACCAGACAGTAGTCTGGCAACTGACTGCCTTCAGAGAGGTAACTTGACAATTATTTACCATTAGCAGCAAGCAGTGTCCTAAGTGTAACATGTATTTGGGGAAGACTGCTTGGAAGAAATCTTTCAGTTTCCCACAGGGGAAGTGGGGAGGAACTCTTACATATGATGGAAAACAATACGAGGTGCATGGTGACCCTGTGGGCAGAGTAGAAATTTCCATAAGGCTTACATCTTCCTGGAAGCAGGCTGCCACATTTTCCTCCCCCAAAGAGGCTGGTGGGTTCAAACCCCCAACCTAGAGATTAGCGACCAAGTGCTTAATCACAAGGCCAGCCCAGGCTCCTTCCTATGTGGGGAATGAAGGGCTTTGTAAATCACTGAACTTCACTGTAAAATGTAAGATCTGGCTGTGAGTCTGATTTTGAATATGTTCATAACCATAAAGGCAGCTGGCACCTGGTATGGGGTAGTGTAGTGGTCACCATGCTGCTGACTCACCACAAGGTCAGCAGTTCTAAACCACCAGCCGCTCCATGGGAGAAAGATGTGGCTTTCTACTCCCATCGCGAGTCACACTGTCGGAAACTCACCGGGACAGTTCTACCCTGTCCTGTAGGGTCCCTATGAGTCAGGGTCCACGTCCACTCAGTGGCCAGGGAGACTGGTGTTTTTGTCTTTGTGTTTTGGTGCTTGCTCCTGGCGCCCGGTGGAAGATGACCATTGCTCTAATTAAAACCCGCCCTTCCCCCTCCAGGTGACCCTCCCGCTACAGGGACGGGGACTTTGCTGATCACCCTGGAGGACGTGAATGACAACGGCCCCTTCATCTACCCCACGGTGGCCGAGGTCTGTGATGACGCCAAAAACCTCAGTGTGGTCGTGCTGGGAGCCTCAGACAAGGATCTTCACCCCAACACTGACCCTTTCAAGTTTGAGATCCACAAACAGGCTGTCGCTGACAAAGTGTGGAAGATCTCCAAGATCAACAGTAAGTCAGTGGGTCCACTCCTCAAGTCCTTGAGACCAGAGCCTCGCGTCTCTCGCCCAAACGGCTCTCCCGCTCAGATGTCCCCGTGAGCCTCCTCACCCGGTTTATTTCAAGGTATTTACATACCAGGCCACCCCAACAGAGCAAGTTGCTCCACACAGTGGGTCAGACACATCGCTTGCTCCCCCGGGGCCTATGAAAGTGATGTGTGTGCTTGACTGTGGTCTAGGACAAGAACATGATGAAAAATCCTGGAATCCGTGAGAATGACCACGCTGGGACGCAGAGAACCAAAAAAACCAACATCCAAAATCGCTGCCACGGAGTCCATTCGGACTCACTGGGATCCGATAGGACAGGATAGAACTGCCCCTGAGGGTTTCTGAAACTCTAACTCTCTACAGGAGTAGAAAGCCCCATCTTTCTCCTGAGGAGCGACTGGTGGGTTCGAACCACTGACCCTGTGGGAGAGTAGCCCAGTGCATAACCAACCAGCACATGGTGTAGAGATGTAGCGTCCCCTCCAGGCAAACACATTTTCTTATTTGCTTCCTCCCTGATCTTTTCGGTTCCACCATCAACCCCTGTCATCCACTCTGGACTGATCTGTGACCTCTGCCTTCTGACCACCCCTGAGGACTCAGTCGTGAGCCCAGGAGCCGAGCCTTCCCTTGTCTCCTGAGACCAAGCCTCCAAGGCTTTCTCCTGGTCACTAGCTTGCACAGAGCATCGGCCCCCTACACCCCACTCCAGCCTCTGAAGGCCAAGGGTCCCTGCCTCTGCCTGCTCGTCTCCTGGAGCCGAGTCCTGCTTCCAGCCTCAGCCCCCTGGGTGGCTTCTTTCTCTTTCACCAGCACTTTGGCGGGATTCTCCGTGGAAGTTCTGCTTCCATGAAAGACTGGCTACACAGAGAAGCAACGATCAAAGCACGTTTCCTAAGCCTTCAACCTCTACTCCTCTACCTCTCCTTTGATGGTGGAAGCGTCCTCAACCTTGACTTAACCTTCGCGCCCCTGGGCTTTCCACTTCGCCCTCTTCTCCCATGGGCTCACGCATAGGAACAAGGCGAGGACGGCGCAGGATCGGGCGATGTCTCGTTCTGTTGTGCGTTAGGTCGCTATGAGTTGTACCGACTCGATGGTACCTAACAATAACAACAGCAATGTCTTCTTCCATGGATCCTGCCCTGCCCGCTGATGCCGTGATGAAACCTATAAGCAATTCCCCTCTCTTCTCATTTTTCCTGGTGGGTGGAAGGGATTCAGAATGGAGCCCAACATTTCCCATCTGTTCCCTTCAACCTGGAACACCGATATATGGAATTATACAATCTTCCTATAACTACACAATCTCACCCCAGGGCTGATAAAAGCTAACTGCTGAGTTCATGTCCACCCTGCTTCCCAATAAAGCTACACCCACCACAGTGGTAGAGCTATCGAGGGGAGAGGGGAGGGGACTCGCCCGTTTCATTAAGTTCTGAACAGGCTGTAGCACCGTGCATAAAATTCTCTATTTAAAAAAAATCTATGCGGTGTGATGGTCCCATGTCCTATCTTATTTTTCATTAGTGCTTCTCTCTCTTTATCGATTCTACTCGCCTGTTTGCCTACTTTATTGCTTTTTAAAAAATGAATTCTGTTACACAGATTAATTTTAATTAAGGTGGCCCTGCTCCCGCTTGAGAAGGTGGGGGGAGCTGCTTTCTCTGGGAGCTCTGATGGCCCTCGCTGGCTAGACTCATCATGCTGGAAGCCTTCCGGCTAGAACGCCCTCATCCAAGACTTCCTCCTCTGCTTGAGGCTGATCTGAAAGGGGGCTGTGCTCACTGGGTCTCCTTCCACGGCCCTGGATTGCGTCTTCCAGCTGCCCCCGCCTTCCCATGGTAGCACTTCACCAGGGCTTGGCTTCCCATGAGCATCATATCTGTTCCTTCCTGGCTTGATTCCATTGATAAGATGCCTTCTAAACTCTTTGCTTCAACCTCCCCAAGGTTTTGTTGTTGTTGTTGTTGTTGTTGTTGCTGCTGCCCTTTTTTAACTACTGACCATTCTTTGTGCCTAGAGAACCCTGGGGTGTAGTAGTTAGGCATTGGGCTGCTAAGCGCATGGCCAGTGGTTCAGAAACCACCAGCCGCTCTGTGGGAAAAGATGGAGCTTCCTACTCCCGGAAAGAGTGACAGTCTGGGCGCCCCACAGGGGCCGTTCTACCCTGTCTTAGAGGGTCGCGATGAATCGGAATCGACTCGTGGCCGTGAGTTTTGCTCTTTGTGCCTAGGAAGAGCCGAGCTGTTTTGTTTGTAATTATTCGTTTAAAATCCTTGTTGGCCGATAAGGGAAGACACTTAGCTAATAGAACATGGCGGAAGAGGTGGTCGTGGCTTCTGACTGCCACCCACAGGTCTGAGAAGGAATGAGGAGAACCCCACCCCCACCCCAACCCCCACCCCGCCCTGCACCAGTAGACCCCAACTCCAGGGTGATGGATTTGTTGCTGTGGTTGTCATTTGGTTTCTGCATGGAATGAGGACATTGAGAGACCACCCACGAACGTGGACCGCATCTGTCATCTGTGGCCTGTAGATTCTGACCCAAATCAAAGTCTACGGACTGAGAACCTGATTCAAAAACTCACTCGCCAGCAGCCCTGATGGCATAGTGGTTATGAGTTGGGCTACTAATCCCAAAGTCAGCAGTTCAAAGCCATCTGTGGAATAAAGATAAGATTTCTATATAAAGAAAAATTTTTTAACTCACTCACCACAGTGGCAACCTGAGGGGGTTCTGCCCTCAGTGTAGGTCAGGGGGACACTGCTGGGGGACACTACGGGGATTTGTTTCAGGCGTTGAACGTGATCATTGCCAAAATGGCTTTCGGTGCAGGAGGTGTTAGATTCCTTCTGTGAGAAATATCTTGGTCCTTGGAGAGAATTCACAATGAAGCCTGGTTTGTGATCCAAGTAAGTTTTCATACAGGATAGAAGAAGTGTCAGGTTTTACACAAGCCCCATCAGGGCACTTTGCACCCCCACGTGGAGGCCAGAGCAACCGCGGCCGAGCAAGGAGCAGCTGGAAAAGAGAGAGGGAGGTGGTCCCGATCCTGGCTTTTTAGGGTCCTCCACTGGAGGCATGGACCACAGAACTGGCTGACCCCATTGGCTGAATTAAACCCGCCTGTCCTAGATTAGGGCCCTCCCAGGTGTACTGGCTTCCTGTCTCAAGGACCTGAATTTGTGCCTGCCCTTGGCTTTTATCAGCTTCCAACTTCCTGTAACGGGGGAAGGGAGGCCTTAGCATGCAGAGGGACACCCTCTGGTTTCTGCCTCTTGCTGCCTAACAGAGGGGAGGGTTGAGGGGTAAGTGACGCCCACTATGCTTCACAAAAACTGGTCCCTGGGAAGCCACTTACCTCAGCCCTGGAGCAGTGGCCCTGTGGTAGCCACCCAGCCAGAAATGGGGCCTAGGCACCCGAAGTGTGGCTGTTAGACCCAAGGAAATGTTTCCCACTTCCATTTATTTTCAGGGACGCCCAGGTGCTCTGCCAATCGAGAGACCAGCTGCTGCTCCTGCCTGGCGTGCCCTGAGGTGCGGACACCTCATCTTTTTCTCTAACCCTCTCGCGGGATCTCTGGGTGGCATTAGCAGTGAATCTACTCAGCCACTAGCTAGCCCAAAGGTGGCCATTCAAATCCACCCAAAGGCGCCTTGGAAGAGCCTAGTGACCTGCCTCGGAAGACCCAGCCCCTGGCCACCCTGGGGCACTCGGTTCTGCACTGGGGACATCATGAGCTGCCTGGGTTCCCATGCCTTGCCTGTCTCATGAGGCCCTCCTTGTCTCCACAGATACGCACGCCCTGGTCAGCCTTCTGCAGAACCTGAACAAAGCCAACTACAACCTGCCAATCATGGTGACGGATTCGGGGAAGCCCCCCATGACAACGGTCACCGAGCTCAGGGTGCAAGTGTGTTCCTGCAGGAACTCCAAAGTGGACTGCAACTCGGCAGGGGCCCCACGCGCCGGCCTCGCCGCCCTCCTGCTCACCGCCCTCCTGGGGTTAGCGTGTAAGTTGGCCTAACCCCAGCGCCTGCACCGCCCGACCACGCAGCCTCCCCAGGCCTGCCTAAGCCCATTCTCCCCTAGCCAGCTTTCCAAGGGAATGTAGCCCAGAAGCGCCCCCTCTCCTCCTCCTCTGTCTGGTAGGAACCTTCACCCGAGCCTCTTGGCAGCCCCACCCACCCACCACCACCAGCCGATTGGAGCAGGGTCCCGGGTGGGGCCACTGGGCCAAGCAGGAGACTCGGGAGGGCCTTCCGCAGATGCTGCTGAACTGGAGCTAATAAAACTGTCCCGATTAGCTCGCCGGTCTCCTGGGGTCTATTTCTGCTCCCCCGGGGCAGAGTCCTCTGTTGCAAGGCTAGAGTAGGTAGCTGTGCCACAGTGAGCATGGTCATGCCCGAGGGGGGAAAGGATAAATACATAGTTCACACCCATTTATTTTTACTAAGATCTCAGACCACAACAAACCCAACTCAAGGGCCACCCATCAATCCTGACTCATCGTGACCCTCCAGGGTAGGGTAAAACTGCCGTAAAGACAGTCGCTCATTACGGGAGTAGAAAGTCCCATCTTTCTCTCTAGGAGAGACCAGTGGTTTTGAACTGCTGACTTTGCAGTTAGCACCCAACATGTCATTCACTGCACCACCCACCCGAACTCACTGCCATTGGATCTATTTCCACTCAGGGCACAACTGCCCCTGAGGGTTTCCAAGGCTGTAACTCTTTATGGGAGTGGAAAGCCTCATCCTTCTCCCAAGGAGTGGCTGGTAGGCTCAAACTGCCAACCTTGTGGTTAGCAGCCCCACATGTAACCACTCTGCCACCAGGGCTCCTTATGACCAAGATAATGCAGGAATCCCTTAAGCAAGTAAATCATGATGCTGAGCAATAGAGAGAGGACTAGGAAACACGGAGGCACATCAGACCTTTCTGCTATGTGCGGTCGTTGGGCCCAGTCTCCTCTGGTGAATCCCAACTCCTAGTGACCCCCGAGAACAGAGCAGACTGCTCCACAGGTTTCCCAGACCCTGTAAGGACGCAGACGGCCTCATCTTCCACCCAAACCCCCCGGGGGCTACTCCAGGCTCATCTTGTCAGTTCTTCACATACAGCCATTACCCTTGTGGGACCTTGCTGTGTGCTCCCTGAGAAAGGACCAGGGTGATTATGGGCCCTGTAATTATCTGTAAGGACAAAGCTGTAGGAGCCCCGGTGGGGTAGTGGTTATGCATGGGGCTGCGATCCGCATGGTCGGCAGTTTGAAACCACCAGCTGCTCTGAGAGAGACTGGGCTTTCTACTCCTGTAAATGGCTGAGAGTCCCGGAAACCCACAGGGAGTCACTGTGAGTCAGCGTTGACTTGATGGCAGTGAGCTTGGGGTTTTTTGGTTGGTTGGCTGGCTGGCTGGCTGGCTGGCTGG